CAGTCTTCACAAATAAAAGGTATGTGTGGATTTTGAATGATATATGCGACCTGAGTGCATGAGATATATGCGACTTGAGTGCATGATTTGCCAACATGTATGGTCGAAATGCCTTTGATATATAATAATTAACACTCATCCATATTTTAATTTTAACCAAACTATAATTTGGAGTAAATCACAATAAGCAATTACATCATCAATACTTTCCAAGCAATCTGGCTATAGTTGAGCCATATATTCTCAAAAGAAACACAAATGATTTACTAACCTAATTGTTTCTCGATTAAAAACGTATTGTTAGTCTCATCACATGGGCACGGATGGTTTTATATACTATAGTGCTGCATATGTGTAAAGAAAAACATGCAAAGTATAGAAACATTGCCCAGGTTTTAAAACAAACAGATCAACATCAGCTACCTCGTCTCATTATTCAATTTTCATTCCCAATAATATGAACCTCAAAGCAAAAATAAACTAGTAAAGTTAATATAAGATGAGGTATTAAATAGTATCCAACGTGCATTGTAAACAATAAGGCGTTTGTACTCCAAAGCCAAACAAATTTTCTACTGAGAGAATGTTACCAAGTATACAACAGGCTTGGCAGTAAGTAACTGAAAGGAATTCAAAATCTCAATATCAGCAGCCTTCCATTCACCTAGACGTATATCTTTTCCTTCCTGAAGCAATGCCTTCACCTGAAGACATGAAATTGGCACCATAATTTTCATCCACTATGTATCCACACATTTTTGGTATGTATACAATTGAACAAATAAGAGTATAGAATGTGACAGTGGCAATTAAGTGACAGCATGATATCACATGAGATTTTGCAAGGCATAAGATAAATGCATCCACAGACAAAAAAACTGTGCTTTTTGACACGAGCCAAGACATGTATGACCAACTTTAATTTGAATCATTTGACCAATTACATTCTCATCCATACAGTACCATGAGAAATGATCATAAACAGAGGATATTAAGAAAAATTCAATTCCAATCATGAACAACAAATGAAATGTGAAATAAGCAGGAAGTATCGTAACTCCAAATAAAAATCAAGAAAACCTTCAGGCACCAAATCATATGACTAGTTCCATGAAACCATTTGATGAAAGTCTTTCAATCAACAATAACCACAAAAGTGAAATACATTTTCTCTTGATCAGAAACAAGTAACATTTTACACAGCAATTGTAAGAAATTAACAGCAACAATGAATACCAAAATATGTCTAAAGTATAACCCTTATGTTTGAGAGTATGCTAGAAGCTTCTACTGTTTTTTTATGCATAATACACTATGGAACCTCAAAGAGAACCCTGTCACTGAAAGCATTGCACATACCACCAAAACAAAAAACAGATTCGAGATACAAGTAAGAAAATTGTGCCAGTTTATTTTAATAAATACAACACGTACGCACCAAACTTCAAACTATATACAATATAAGATATATAATACAAGGGATGACCATTTCATCATTGGGGGAATAAAATAAATCATATAAATTCTCAGAAGATAAAATCGTACCCTTTGACAACATTCAAGTTCAATTTTTAACTGTTTGTCATTGCTCCTCTTCATGCTTTTCTCAACATCTTCTATCTTTCTTTCCATGAATTCAACATCCTAGAATTTTATGCAAAGGGCGGAAGCAGTTATATATACTACAGTATACAAACAGATCTAGCAGTAAGTTATAAACTTCATATCTACACAAAAGACTAAATTCATAATGATGAAAAAACAGAAATTAAAGCTAAATGAAGGATGAGGGATCCTCCTTGATGGTAGAGAAAACGATAACACGCCGAAAAAATATCCAATGGAGCAAAGCTGCCCATTTGATCCACATATCTGTATGGAAAAGCCCTTTAAAAAGGCATATACTTTGCAAATTGTCAATAAAATTAATTGTCCAAAAGTCAGTTTACTACGAATAAGAAAGTTGCTAATTATACCTTCAGCCTCAATTCTTCAGTAATGATCTCCAAATCCCTAACTGGGTCAACAGTATCATCTACATGAATAATGTCCGGATCCTCAAATGCACCTAGCAAGAATTAGGTCTCTAGGTCAACTACCAATTCACATAAAAATGTCATAAACTCATAATGCAGTAATAACAAAAGAGATCCTCGGAGAAAATTAGGCATCATCTTACGTAAAACATGGAAAATTCCATCAACAGCACGAATGTGAGATAAAAAACTATTCCCCAATCCTTGCCCCTGATGAGCACCTCGGACCAATCCAGCTATGTCATGGATTTCTAAGAAAGCTGAGACCTGAGTTTCATGTTGAACAAACACGTCATAACACAGAAAAAAAAAAATAGACCAATTTATCAATAACAGACAACTAACAGAATATGTCAGGAGAAACAGATAGACTTGTAAGTTGGGTACAGCTCGAGCGTAAGCTCACAGATTATTTACAAAATTGAACTACAATTAGCAAGGCCAACACAGATTCAGTAAAGATGATACGAGTTCCATCACATACCTCACTTTTTGGCTTGTATAATTGGCAAAGCCACTCAAACCGTTCGTCGGGTATATTGACCCGCGCCTCATTAGGCTCAATGGTACAAAAGGGGAAGTTCTCAGCAGGTATTGCCAACTTGGTGAGAGTATTAAAAAGAGTAGATTTCCCAACATTTGGCAAGCCAACCTGAACAAAGAACAATAACTAGCATAAAAAAAATGTATAAAGTGTTATCATACAAAGTTCTCATTTGACTAACTCGTTCAAGCATTTAGAAACAAGTATAAAGCAACTAAGCTTTCACAGTTCACCAGTTCAGTTCCAATGCATAACAACTATTATCTAAGTCCCACATAAAAATAAGCAAGATGGAAACAAAATCAACGCAACCGACATATGATGCTGAAAGAAGGAGGACCCATTTTTGCTATTGGAAAAGGGTAGCTGAGAATACTGTCAAAATCGAAAATTAGTGGATTTGGCGAGAGAAGTAAGAAGCATACAATGCCAATTTTGAGGTGAGAAGAGAATCGACCGAGGATGGGTCGCTCAGCTGGGGCTTCCTTGGATTTGGCAGATTTGGGAGGCATTTTAAGGGGCAAAGGGCTTTGGTTCGATTCCAATGATGAACTGAAGAACAAGAAGAGCGCTTCGAATCTCAGTTCGTGGTTTGTAGGGTTTTGTACTAGGGAAAGCGAGTCACTATACTATTCTTCTCATTTTTATTTTTTATTTTTATTTTTTATTATTATGGAAAGGCACAAAAAATAAAAACAAGTATTTGAGGGCACTTATTATATATTTCTCTTTTTATACGAGACAATGTTATCGATTGGATTAAAAAAATTATATTTTAACTGATAATTTTATGTATTATTAGTGTAAAAAATAGATTATAACTACTCCAAAAATCATTTTATGAATTTTAAATTGTCATTATTACTAAATTCAATAAATTTATCAAGATTTTTGTATCAAATATATGCAAAATTATATTATTGTACATCAATTAATTTCTCTCAACATCTCCAATAATGGAATAATGAAATTTATTTCTTAGAATCTTTACTCTTTTATGAGATTAAATAGTTTGCGAATTATACATGCTAAAAAGTAGTTTGTGAAAATTTTACTTCAAAACAAATCTCTGATTTTAGAATAGAATAATTAGTCCAGAGTCAAATAACATTTTCAACAAATGTAATAATTTCAAAAGGTTACGTTTGTTATTTCACTGTAATGGGTGAAAAAGGAAATACTAAAAGTGCAAAAAGTAAAAGCTTCGTGTTTATTCATTTGAAATCCAAATTTGATTTTCTGGGCATTATAGACCAGCTATGGCCCATTCTTCTTCTTCTCCACATTTTTTTTCCTACTCCATAAATAAAGTGAACCAAAAAATTGTATCACCTTTTATTAATTTATTTGTTGTCATTTCCGAATTACAATTTTCAAAATACATTTTTTTTT